TGTAATCCTTAGCTACTTTTAAGTTGGTAGGTGTAGTAATTCATTTTTTTATTTTCGAGGTATTTCGCAACTGATCGATAGTTTTGTTCGTCATTGACTTGTATTTTTGTTTCATTTATGTTCCCCCTTTTTATGGACGTGATATAGAATGTGTTTGCGCCAATCGTATCAGTTATTTTTTTTACCAGTTCAGCACAATTTGCCTGTCGAACATAAATAGGTGGCGGTCTTAATTTTTTGGCCTTGGGTGTTTGGGCGATCTCATCTTCATTTGGGACACTTAGTATCGCAAATCTATTGTTTGCTAGTGCCTAATGTGGCACAGTGTTCTCGGCTATTTTAGTTATTTTAGTGCATTGTTGTTCTTCACATTTTGTGGGCTCAATTTTCTTTTGATTTGCACATAGCAATCGAGCCCAGTCTGAATTAACGCTCTGTTAGCATTTTTTGAACTTATTGGTTGGGAGAGGTGGGGCTTGTCGCAGTGGGTCGACTGTATCGGGCACTGAGCAATTGCAGTGGTTGTTGTTGTGGTTTTTGTCGTTGTTGTGGTCGAAGACACAGTTTTGAGCGAGGGTATTGTACTATTTGTTGTCGATAGACAATACGAGTCGGGAGATGGGCACTGAGCACTCCATGACCCACTTGCAATGCAGGGGAGAGAGAGCGTGCTCTCTCCTCGTTCACTCGCAGTGATGCAGTTTTTGTTGGTACTGCTGCCTTTGGCGAGCGTATAGAGAAGTACGCGTTGGTTTTTGCTTGTGAGAGCCGACGCTCGTCTTGTTGCTGTTGCCGGGCTTGGCTCATTTTGGCTTTGGTTACAATGCTTGTGCTATTTACCGAGCTGGTGCTCTTAAACGTTGACATTTGTTCTTTTCTATTATTTCTATTAATTAATTAATTAATTATTACACGATTGGATGGTATTCATGGGCAGCACGATCACTAGTACCCATTAGAGGTTTACGCCGACTGTGTTAGCTTAAAAAAAGATCACTTCATGTGTTTATTATGTATTCAAAAAAATTAAAATTACAACAAATTAACAGTAGCCCTTCATGGACTTTCCTTACTAATATAAAAATTTAAGTCTTCATTTATATTTGACATCTGAATTGAGATCTAAATTTTTTTTTGCAAAGTTAAAAAAATAATAATAATAAATTAAGATAAGTTTTCTTTGCAATGATCATAGTTGTCATGAATGAAAACAATTTTATTTACGTTGTGAGGACTGAGCTGCGACCGTTTATGTGTTATTGTTAGACCTGCTATAGAAAAGACTCGCTCACTGGGTGTGCTCGTTGCTGGAATACACAGCACTTTTCTTGCTAGCATAGATAATAAGGGCATTGCAGATGCCTTTTCCCTCCAGAAACTTAAAACGTCTTGGCATGAAGACAAACTTAAAAGCATTCAGCTTCCAAATTGCTATTTTTGGTATTTGTAGAATGTCGCTGAGCAAGCTTTAATATTTTGGTTACAGATGGAGATTCACTTAAACTATCCTGCTGATCGCTAGCTTGTTGAACATCGCCAATCAGCTCTTTAAACATTTTTAACAAAAAATCAGATTTTTTTAAATTTTGGTCTTTACAGTACTCTAACACACAATCTAGTGAGCTGAATCGCGGATCTAGTAAGGATGCGCAGACTAGAATATCTGATATTGGGAATCTCGAATCCAATTTACTCTTTATATTATTTTTCATTTTAAACAAAGAAAGCGGTTCATTGCTCTCAGCTTCACCCAAAATTGAGACGATCTCTGTTCTGATAACTAACGCAAGGCTTATTGATGAATACAAATCTCCAGACAGAATATTTACTGCGTCTTTAAATTTTTGCAAAGAGTCACGAAGTTTATATAAAAGCTGTACTTCAGTCTCTAATAGTATCAAATCAATCTTGTTGCTGCTAGTGAGCAATTTATTTATTGCAGCTCTTTGGCACCCAAGACTTTGAAGCATGGCTTCACGCTGTGCCACCTAGTTGGGACCGAGTTTTTAAGAGAAACATTCCTCTTGTCCACCAAACTACTTCGCAAGTCATTAGTGTTGTTAATGTTTTTATAAGTTTGCAAGGGCTGTATTGTCTATTGAAAATGAGATAGATACTCAGCTTGACTTATCCAAGACAATAAAAAAAATTACGCGCAGGCCAAATCACGAAAAGTAACTTTCTTGAAATATTTTAACAACTTTTTTTTTCATTCTTCTTTTTTATTCAATATTTTATTTATAATGCTACAGGATTGCAACTATTATGTTAATTCCCTAGTCACAACGATAGTCAGAACGCAAGTAAGAACGCTTATCACAACGCTAGTCACAACTACAATAAAATGTCAAAATTTCAAAAACTTTTGCTGCGTTTGCCTTAATTTGTTTATTTCAGAAAAAAAAAAATATTATCAAAGGGCGCCTCTTCTCATGTTTGCCCCGGGCGTCATAACCTCTAACGCCGGCCCTGACGACGCGTTATTAATACAGCTATACGAAAAAAAAAAATTATACGAACACAGGATATTTTCGAATAATCCTAAAAAATCCCTCCCTATAAAAAAAAAAAAAAATACAGGTTTTAAAAATTTAAAAATCTCATTAAGCAATTTCAAAGATCCAAACCTTTCAGAAAATGTGGTTTTGGATCCTTGAGGAAAAATCGTGTCGGGTAGTGTTATCAGTACATATCGGCGCTAAGCAGCATATTTTTGCGCTAAAAACAACCCTGATATTCGTTTTCCATCCGATCACACTACTCGACAAAATTTAATTTTTAAACTTTTTTAAAATTTTTTAGTACTTTGTTTTTTTTTATGATTTAATTTTTTTAAAGAATTTTTGAAATCTGGTATTTTTAAATGGTTTTTTTTTCAGAGGTAGTGCTTCTATTTTTCAAATAACTTAAGTATCTTATTTCTCTTTGCATAGAACCTTGTAGGCGTCGTTTAAGGTATCGTTTGTAAGAATCGATGGATAAACGGCCAATTTGCCAATTTTTTTTTTGTTGGTCTATTTTTTCATGTTTTAGGTTTGGTCAACGAATTTTAGCTCCACCGTTTATCCATAGATTTTAATGAACAATTCCTTAAAAGACGCCCAATTAAGACGTCTATCTAAAACTAAAAATGCATGCCAAGAATTATTTTTTTTTGTACTTTTCCTGAGTTTTTAAATTCAAAATTTCGGGAAAAAATACCGAAAAAAAATGATTAAATTTGAATTTGAAAGCTTAATATCTTTCAGGCGTTAAGCTGCAGCTATAAAGTGCCTGAGTCGGATTTATAACTGCATTTGCCAGCTTTTCAGAAACTGGAAAGTTCTTTGCAACCAGATATAAGATACTTAAGTTATGTGAAAAATAAAAACACTTCCTCTGAAAAAAACCATGAACAAAAATACCATATTTTTAAAATTCTTTAAAAAAAACTTAGTACCAAAAAAATCCCGAAATCTATCAGAAAGTCATTTTGGTCCACAGCCGAAAGAAAAATTTCAATTTTGTTGAGTAGTGAAATAATTTAAAAACGAGAGGGAACTTTGTTAGTGGCAGCAGCTGCCGCGACATTACTTTTAAATTTTGAAATATTTTATATTTACATTTTCTGCTACATATGTGGGGCGCACACTGAAAGAGGTAGAGCGAGAGTGTGAGAGAGAAAAGAGAGAGAAGAGAGAGTGCTGGAAGCGGGTAGCTAAAGAAAATTAATTTGTTTCATTTTGGCTATAATAATAATCCGATCCGATAAAGATTCGGCTTTCTTCTAGATATGGTCATTCTCTACGATACTGTTTTTTCCGTTTTATCGTGTTAACAATCTTGATTTAGTCTGATATCAAATGAGTCTGGAAACAAAATTTGGTTGCTTTAGCTCTTGAAGTCTCTGAAAACTAAGCGTCAAACAAGATGGAAAGATGGGCGAAAAGACAGACTGGGCTATATCGACTCGGCCATTGATGCTGATCAAGAATATATGTACATTATGGGGTCGGAAACCTTTCCTTCTGTACGTAAAACACATCCTCTTCGACCACAAATCTAATATACCCCTCAACTCATCGAGTACCGGGTGTACAACATTTGTTTTGAAAAAATAAGTTTAACTATAGAAAAAAACTTATTTATTAAAATTGTATGGAGTCCCAAGTTTATTAGAAAACGTTGGTTTGATGTCAGAGTTTTATTGGCTTTGGCTTAGTTTTATAAAAGCATAGTTAACTTTATGTGAAAAATTAAGAAGAATTTCAAAGAGGATATTGAATTTTGTATTCATATTATAGGAACAAAGCAAACGAAAAAGGGTTGTACATTTGTTAACTGATCGCGATCCCAATTCCCAATTGGCAGTTGGGCCCGCAATCTTCGAAAAGGTATTTTTTGTTAATTTTGTTTCATTTTTTTAGGTTTGGTTAACGAATTGTAGCTTCACCGTCTCTACATAGATTTTAATAAACAATACCTTAAACGACGCCTAGTTAATGCACCTATACAAAAAAAAATAGAGGACACAGGGTAAAGTTTTTTTCGACTTTTCCCGAGTTTTTAAAATCAAAATTTCGTTAAAAATACCGCAAAAAAATCATAGTTTTCATTTTCAAATCATTCCCAGACGGTAAGCTAAAATCACAAAGTTGTTGGGCTTACCTTGTAGCTGTTTTAATTATCTTTTTAAAATAGCAAAGTTCTTTACAACCAGACGTAAGATACTAGAGTTATGTGAAAAAAGAAGCGGTACCTTTGCAAAAAGCTTTAAAAAAAACAACCAGATTTCAAAAATTCTTCAAAAAAAAGTTCTGCCATAGAAAAACAAAAAATTATTACCAAACCATTTCTTAGCCCTACGTCTTTAATAAAAAGTTGGTTTTGTTTCTTGAGAAAAACTCGTGTCGAGTAGTGAAACGCTTTTTATTTAAAATTTTCATTGTTGCTATTCAAGTGCCGCGCATTGTGTGGTGTGTACATATTTGTCCATCAATTTCAAAAAAGATTAACTCAGAAATCAAAGTAGCTTTGTCATTTAGTCATTACCAAGTAATACAAAGCATCGGCTACCACACTTATTAGAAAAAGCTCAGACTTCAGAATTCAGTCGAATAAACTGTGTATGTATTATAGCCGAAAAAAAATTGGATTACTTATATTCGGTATAATAAATAAGAAATAGTGTATTTGTGTTGTTATTTTTAATTCGAATTATATAATTAGAACTGCATAGGTATAATTTGAATGTATACTTGCATGCTATTGTATGTATGTACATTAGGCTGGGCCAAAATTTAATCAAAAATTTTGTTTTTCAAGCGGACACCCCCTTTTTGTTCTTTGCTAGTAAATAAAATAATACAACTTTTTTTTCAAGTCTTTAGTTTAATGTTTGAGGCTTGCTGAAAAAAAAAAAATACACTATTTGGTTAAATATACATTACAAAAATGTATTTCATTGGTTTTTTCAAACAATATTGAAACTTAGAAACTAGTTCATATTGATAATAATGTATTCTATTTTTTTTAGTTACTTTTCAAAAATTAACTATTGGTGAAAATAAATAAATTCAACTGATGTCAATATATTTAGCTAACTAGTTTGCAAAAAGTTGTGCTGGTTTTTTACTGACAATTAATCATTAATGACGATATTAATGGTATCAATATATGCAATAAAATTCACCGAATTATCCAACTCATTCAGCAAAAAAAAATAATTTTCTTGCTTAACATTTTTTGTAAAATTCGGTAGAAACCTCTATACAAATTTTTTAATTAAAAATAAAATTTTATTATTACTATCAAGCCCAAGGTAACAAAATTAAATCGTGTCCCGTTTAAATAAAAAAAAAAAAACATTTTTGTTTTATCAAGCTAATGTATATTTGTGTAGTGGGTTAATATATTTTTAATCACTTCATGTAAATGCATATGTATGGTAGGTACTACAATCTTAATAAATAAAAATCAAGAATATTATTATTTTCATATAAATGAAAAAAATATACATAAATAAAATTCCCAGATAAACTTATATCAAAACCCCTACGTTTGTATACCCTTTCAGTTCAACGAATGTCAAACAGAATGTTAGAATTTTAATAAACTAAAAACATAAATAGGATAATTCTAAGTGATAAGTAAAACAAATATCTAAAAAAAACATTCAGACAGGCTCCGGTTTTTACATTCACTTTGCGTTTTACTTTTCAGCAAAAAGTCATACTTTTCATTTCAAGGCGCTCTGTAATCCACTATTGTGAATTTTTACTTTTTCTACTGTTAAGCGCAAAATGTACTTCTGTTATACCCACGCGTCAGTGCCAGCTCATACAAAAAGTTATGTTTAACAGAGATTTGCCGATAACCCAATCGAGCTGCCACAGCTGTTCGGAGGAATTCACTATTTGTTGTTGCCCTGACTAATTTTTTCAGATCTAATTTTGAGGTTGGTTTAAATAAAAATTTGGATTACAGTTTAAATGTAAAATGTTTTTCCATTTATTTTATAAAAACGAACAAAATTTTCTGATGGCGAATTCATCCGCCTATCTGTCCTAGTGTGGCTTAGAAACAAGGGATGACCGCCGTATAAAAACTCATTTCTAAATAAACTCTCCACACATGTTATCCTATACATATACCATAGGTGCACATTAGGTTGATCCAAGAAATGTTTTCTTGAAATTTAAACGGGACACCCCTTAATTTTGTTATTTTGGGTTTGATAGTAATATTAAAGTTTTTATTTTTATTTAAACAAATATTTTAGAGGTTGTTACCGAATTTTACTAAAAAGTTAAGGCAAGAAAATAAAAAAAAAATTGTTTGAATGAGTTAGATAATTCGGTAAAATCTATTGCATATATATTGATACCATTAACATCGTCATTAATCCTTCGAAGTTTCAATATTATTTGAGAAAACCGAGAAATCAATTTTTTTTAAATGTATATATATTTAACCAAAAAAGTGTATTTTCTTTTCGTGGTAGCAACGCCCAAACATTAAACTAAAGATTTAAAAAAAATTGTATAATGTTATTTACTAACAAAGTACAGAATAAGGGAGTGTTGATCAAATTTTGGCCCAGCAAAGTGCACATATATGCATATTGACTTCCATATATACACATACTATATGCTTCTTCTGATTACGAGTTATCTGTGAAATTGACTTTTTTAACCTTTGAACAGAAAATATTCGTCGATTCGACAGAGTCGTCGTTTTAGATTAATATATTGAGCGCACCCGCCCAATATTCTGAACGAAGATGATGGGCTGCCAAATCGGACTGTGACGATTCGGCCGGCTTTCTGCATGGGCCTCACCCCTGTCGCTCAGTGGAGTATGCCTATCCCTGCCCTGTATCCTTCATCCGTGGCCGGATCGGACGGTACCGCCACTTGCTGGGACGGTGCCAATAGACGGTGCTAAGTCCCTACGCATTCTTTTCAAAAATATAAAATACTTCGACACCGCCAGAATCTCTGCGCTGTTGGTGACTTTAATTTTTGTTCGTTGGTATGGTCTGTAAATCCGCAGTCGTCGGCTACGATGTCCAGCAATGTGCTTATACCGCACGAAATCCTTTTTATATGCTATTTTTATTTTTATATAGGTTAAATAAAATTCTAGACTTAGTTCTTGTTAGTTCAGATATCAATTGCTGTATTACATATTGCGAACTGCCTATTGCAGAATGCGACATGCATCATATGCCATTGGTATTTTCCGTTTAATTCAGTTTTTATTCGCCCTGGAGCGATATCCTGAATATGGTTTTAGTGATGTAGGAGTGAATGCTATATGCTATGATATGTCTAACGATAACAGGTCTTTTCTTCTATCGTATCCTAGTGCTGACACTACTTCCATTGTTCCAAAAGATTGCATGAATAAGAATGAATTGCATGATATAAGAATCTTCATAAAAAGTTTTATAAACGTTTTGGTACGACGCGTGAGCTTGTTGACTGGGCGGGGTATGCGCAACATACGGGTGTGCTTTCTTTTCTGGGAAAATTTTATTTTATCAGTATATTGCCGACATTGAGAGGGAATTTAAATCCATTCGCATTGGGTTGAGCCAAAAAATTGTTTATTTTAAATTTTGTTATCTTGAAATTGATAGTAATATTAAAGCTTTTATTTTTATTTAAAAAATTTTTTTACAGGTTGCTACCAAATCTTAAAAAAAATTATAAGCAAGAAAATTAAAAAATTTTGCTGAATGAGTTGGATAATTCGGTGAAATCTACCGAATTGATATTGATACCATTAATATCGTCATTAATCAGTTATTGGCAGTAAAAAACCTGCACAAATTTTAACGAACTAGTTAACTAAATATATCAACCTCAGCTTCTTGATTTTCACCAATAGTTTATTTTTTAACAGTAACCAAAACGAGAAGGAACGTGTGAGTCGCTTCTGGGGACGCGACTCTACTTATACCCGTACTCAGTCAGTATATACATTTTTGAGCATGGATTTTTAGAATTTTAGAATTAAAAAAAAAATTTACATTTTACATTTGTTTGCTACATCTGTTATCTACATCTACAAGGTATATTCTACATCTAAAATGTAGATTCTAAATGTACCATTTAGATTCTACATCTCCTCAACTAGACGGCGCTCGCGCACTGAACGCGGCAGAGTGTGCGAGCGTGAAAGAGAATAACTAGCGGGTCTCTGGCAGGAGGGGGCGAGGGAAACAACTAAAAATCAATTTTTTCATTTTGGCTATAATTATGATCCGATCTGATTCAGATTCGGAAATCTGGTAGATATGGTCATTCTCTGCGTTTTTAGTTTTATCGTATCTTTAAAATTGTGGCTGTCACAGATTTTCATCCTTTAGGAGGCGGGGCGAAATTTTGAAATACACTTGTAGCAGTGTGATATCACATGAGTCCAACCAAATTTGGTTTCCATTTGGTTTCTCTAGCTCTTATAGTCTCTGAGATGCAGGCGCTCATCGAGACGGACAGACGGACATGGTCATATCGACTCGGCTATTGATGCTGATCAAGAATATATATACTTTATGGGGTCGGAAACGTTTCCTTCTCTGCGTTGCACACATCCACTTTTACCACAAATCTAATATACCCCTCAACTCTTTTTTTTAGTACGGGTATAACAAATTTAAAGTACCTTATTATCAATATGAACTAGTTTCTAAGTTTCAATATTATTTGAAAAAACCGACGAAATAAATTTTTTAATGTATATTTAACAAAAAAAGTGTATTTTCTTTTCGCGGTAGTAACCCACAGACATTAAACTAAAGATTTGAAACAATTTTATAATTCTATTTACTAACAAAAAACAGAATAAGGGGGTGTCCGATGTCCACTGCTTAGCGCAATATGAAATGAAGTAGGCGTTCAAACACACATTTTTAGACCAAATTTGAGATTTTTTTTTTTATTAATTTTTTATTTTTATGGAACCTATCTATAGAAAAGTGAAAACTTTTGTAAAGAAAGAATGCCGCATACTCTGGCTATCATTTAAAAAAAACCGCATGCAATTTGGTGCACGCGATGCGGAAAAAAGAAATGAAATAGGCGTTTAAACACACACTTTTGGACCAAATTTAAGATTTTTTTGATTCATTTTTAATTCTTGAGGAACCTATTTATAGAAAAGTACAAATTTGTTTGTGCAAACCAAGTCACATTCTCTGGCTATCATTAAAAAAAAACAGCATGCAATTTGGTGCACGCGTTGCGGAGATAGCCGCTTACACACAGATTTTTTTCTAAAAATTTATATATTTTGTACAATATTTGGAAACACGCTCTGAATCAAGTATTCCTTCGATGACACAAAAGTGCAAAAATTATTTGGAAACGTTATGAAGCCAGAATTTTCAACGGGAAGAATGCCATTACCAATGTCTAACAGTTGTCTGGAAAACAAATCTGCTGAAGCATCGTTTTGCAATTGAACACGTACATTTGTAGTCAAGCTAAATGTTTTAACAGAGCGCCACAAATTATATGTTTACAAACACGCATTAATTTCATCAGCAGCAGTTCCTAGTTTGACTACAGGCAATGTTTGCCTGAAATCACCTGCTAACAATATCAATGCACCACCAAACAATCGATTACACTACTCGACAAAATCTAACTTTTTTTTCCTCAAGGATCCAAACCGACTTTTTCTGATAGATATGGACATTTAAAATTTTTTAAAGAATTATGGTTTTTTTCCTATGGCAGAACTTTTTTTTGAAAAATTTTTGAAGTCTGGTATTTTTTTTTAAAGCTTTTTTCAGAGGTAGCGCTTGTTTTTTTCACATAACTCTAGTATCTTACGTCTGGTTGTAAAGAACTTTGCTATTTAAAAAAGATAATTAAAACAGCTACAAGGTAAGCCCAACAACTTTGTGATTTTAGATTACCGTCTGGGAATGATTTGAAAATGAAAACTATGATTTTTTTGCGGTATTTTTAACGAAATTTTGATTATAAAAACTCGGGAAAAGTCAAAAAAAATTATATCTTGTGTCCTCTATTTTTCTGTGTATAGGTGTGTTAATTTGGCGTCGTTTAAGGTATCGCTCATTAAAATCTATAGAGAGACTTTGGAGCTAAAATTCGTTAACCAAACCTAAAATATGGAAAAAATGAACAAAAAATACCTTTTTGAAGGCGGCGGGCCCAACTGCCAATTAAAATAGAGAATTTGGCGTCGTTTAAGGTATCGCTCATTAAAATCTCTGGAGAGACTTTGGAGCTAAAATTCGTTAACCAAACCTAAAATATGGAAAAAATGAACAAAAAATACCTTTTTGAAGGCGGCGGGCCCAACTGCCAATTAAAATAGAGGACACAAGATATAATTTTTTTTCGACTTTTCCTGAGTTTTTAAAGTCAAAATTTCGTAAAAAATACCGCACAAAAATCATCATTTTTGCATTTCAATGCTTTATATTTCGCAGACGGTAAGCTGAAATCCCAAAGTGTTTGGGCTTAACTTCTAGCTGTTTTAATTACCTTTTCAAAATAGCAAAGTTCTTTACAACCAGAGGTAAGATACTAGATTTATGTGAAAAAAACAAGCGCTTCCTCTGAAAAAAGCTAAAAAAAAAATACGTTTTCAAAAATTTTTCAAAAAAAAGTTCTGCCATAGAAAAAAAAAAAGTATCATCAAACCATTTCTAAGCCCCAAATCTTTAATAAAAAGTTGGTTTTGCTCCTTGAGGAAAAATCTTGTTGACCAGTGTTATCTCCACAAATATCTTTCAACGTACTATTAAGTGCTTCCAGTGACTTCTTGTTGGCCATAGTACACTCATCCCATACAATAAGAGAGCATTGCTGCAGCACTCTCGCCATTGCAGATATTTTTGAAATGTTGCATGTAGGATTATCGTCAGCCTTCATATTCAAGGGCAACTTAAGGGCAGAGTGCGCCGTGCGACCACCATCCAATAATGTGGCAGCGATGCCAGACGAAGCCAAAGCCAATGCGATTCTACCTTGTGCTCGAATGGTAGCCAAAATAATCGAAATGACAAACGTTTTTTCAGTACCTCCAGCTGCATCCAAAAAGAACAATCCGCCATGTTGTTCTTCGATAGCTTGCAATATTTGGTCGTAAACCGTTCTTTGGTTGATATTTAACCGTGGCTCATTGTTTTGCACAAACGCATTAAGCTCGGCACGATCATACTGCTGTTCACGCTCCAGTTCTTTGTTGAAAAGGTCGTATATATCACGATTAGGCGCTGTTATACCTAATTGAGCTATTGCTTTGCTTGCCATCATCAAGCAAAGGTCTTCAATAGCAATCAATGCTTCGTTGTAAATTTCCGGCGTATAGTCCATGTTTATATCTACCGTTTGACGGCGCAATCGATGTATAAAATCCTCTGAAAAATGATTTTGATGTTTTCGCCACAATTCAATTGGCTTTGCTGGACTGCACGTGGCTATAATAATTGCGAAAAGTGTCCGAATTTGATGTGGACTTGATGACAATGCTGCATCTTCAAGTGTAAGATCCCAATGCATGTCATTCTCAAGCATATTCAATCGTTCGCATACTTCGCGATACGTCCCACACAATTCTTCATCAACAGTTCGCAAAGATTTGAATGATGTTGGTCCACGAACATTTATTAGCAGCAATCGCAAACAAAAACACTCTTGATTTTTAGGATCAACTGTATAAATTCGTCCTATCGCATCTGAGTGAAACAATACTGGCTGACCATGAACGGCTTTTCCGCGTCTTCGCCTTTGAAAAACTTTTGACGAATTATTCCACGTATAATATTCGGGTACTTCGGCGTATAGCAATGTTTACGCAAAATCATCTGCTTGACACAACGAAAAAAATGCAGTTAGAGTTGTTGCTGGTGGTTGCGCAGCTCTTCGCATTGCATTTCCGGGTGTGAAAAAAACGCGTTGACCGTTTTCAAGATGAACAGCTAAATGAACTACAGTTGGATGCCTATCATGGATCGGGAATGATAATATGCGCCATACTGCTTCATTTGAACTGATGTATCTGCCCATTTGAAATTGAGTGATTTCATCGGTAACATTAGCAGCTGCTCCAAAAACAGCCATATCACTGCCCTTGTTAATGTATTTGCAAATGTATTTAATAGATTGAACTGAATTGCAGACCTCTACGTTTATGTGCGCTTTATAAATCTTAGATAATAACTGTGAATATGGCACAACCCAACGATTATCAATCTCCAATTCTTGATTTTTAATTTTCAAAGTTACCGAATGGCCATTATCTTCAGTTGATCGACGCCGATATTCGGGATATCCATCGTTGCCCGTCACTGTATCGGAGACCACTTGGAGCATTTCCCTTCAACCATACAGGGTGAATTCAAATTCAACGCACCACATGGACCAGTGAGGGGGCATGTCATAACGCCCAGTGTCATAACGCCCGTGGGCGATATCGGAGACCACTTGGAGCATTTCCCTTCAACCATACAGGGTGAATTCAAATTCAACGCACCACATGGACCAGTGAGGGGGCATGTCATAACGCCCAGTGTCATAACGCCCGTGGGCGTTATGACACACAAAAAAGTGTCACTATTGAAAGTGTCATAGCGCCCACTCTCAAAGTTTCAAAGCTTCCGCGGGCGTTATGACACTTTCAATAGTGTCATAACGCCATCAACTTTTAAAAACTTGTAAAGTGCATCAAGAATCAATGAGATTACAGATAAGAAAAATACCGTTCATTATTTTATCTCTCTAAGCATTTTTCAAGTTTTCGGCACAATGACGAGCTTGGAAGAGTTAGTTTATCACTGATCTGTAAACAAAGTGCACGCGAAATGGAAGCTGTCGTTCCCTATGAATATAAAATTGTTGCTGGCTTTCGAAAAAATTCGAAGTTGTTGCTTCTCACAACCCATCAACAATTATTTAAAATTAAGAGTGCATTAAAAACTAGTACGCGTTATGTTTGTTATGTAGAAGACTGTAGTGTCTCCGCGGCTCAATCTCAACATTTATTTCCAAAAGATGCAGTCAAAAATTAAAAAAAAAAAAATCGCGCGAACACTTCTACTATTAGGATTTCGGCAGGTTACGAATTGGGGAGTGTTATAAGTGAAAATTGATTTTTATAATAAAAATATTTAATTTTTATTAGCTTCGGGCGTTATAGTGTCATAAGGCCCACAAAAAAGTGACATAAAGCCCTCCGGGCGTTATGACACTGGGCGTTATGACATGCACCCGGACCGTGAATCATATTTATGGTGACCACTTCAAACAATTCAGGATCCACTGTCGGATCTGGAATTTCTGCCGAAATCACATCGTCAATTTGATTCGGCCTTATTTTTTCAATCAGCCAAATTCAAATATGCGCATGAGGCAAACCTCGTTTCTGCCATTCAATTGAATACATCCAACATTGAACAGACCCAAATGCACCGCGATTGACAATTAAATCCATGAGTGATTTCAATTTTAAAATTCTAAAAACACGTGCTAAAATATCATGGCGATCTTTCGATGTTTGGCCAACAAACAATAATTCCGAGATTTCTTCCCATTGCGGATTACACGTGAAGGTGATGAAGAGGTCTGGTCGACCGTAACGGCGAACGTATGACATCGCATCTTGCGCGTACTCAAACATATGACGTGGACTTCCAACATACGATGACGGTAATATTATCATAGTTCCAACGTTTTGTGCATTACCATCGTTGTTAATGGCATCACGCAAATGAACATACTCTTCGGAACGTAATTTTGCATGGTTGAATCGAAGAAAATTTAACCATTCCGATTCAATTTTTGCATATATGTCAACAATATACTGGTGAAAAAGTGCTCTACACCTCAATATGTGGTTGTCTTGATTTTGCCGTATCTGCAGCCTGTATGCGTAATAATTCATAGCACTAACTTTCTTTGTTCCTTCTCGACCGTTTACTGGATTTATCATTTTAATGTTGAAATTATAGCCATCTTGTCCGCTCCAAAACAATCTGGGATATTGTAGTGCATCATAACAGCGATGAGTCTCGGATACACGTTCAAGTTGTTCATTTCTACGATGAAGCACAATATCACGATTATTAAATTGCTCACCAACTATGACTATTGCCACTTCGTCAACTTTTTGTGCATTGAAACGCCTTGCATGTTCGCCAACCGGTGTTTTATCAGCTCGAATAACAATTTTATGATCGTCAGATGGCATTCGATCAAGCGATGTTTTGAAAACCTGAACCAATTCGTAGTGCTCATGGAACATATTTTGCAAATCGAAAATAATTTGGCTCCGCGTGTTGGTAATAATGGCACACCGACGATCAGCTTCGTCTTCCGCGTTCCCGATAAAATATAATTGCAAAAATTGGTGGTCTGCGTTGTCGAAAGGTAACAAAGAGCCAGCTCGATGGTATATTTGACCTTGAATCTGAATAAAATATACGATAGAATGAGAACAAACGTACAATTTGCATAAACAAAACTATTTAATTACCTTGAACGTTGGCATGAAGTTGTCTCTTATAATATTTGTGGCGCCAAAAGATGTCATTTGAAAACTCGAATTATACTTTCGTATATTGTTCAAAAAATGACTCAGGTGTCAATCCATTATGTAATGTGTTCATGGTTGTGGTGGGCTGCCTAATTCAGGCAATTTCACTTTACCACTCGCACAGCACATCCCATCTGCTTCACCTTTAAATTTTAATGCCTGACAATGGCGACAACGGTCGTTCATTGGAGCAATTATAATTTGCCTATGAGAAGCGTAATCGGTGACACTATTGTACGCGAACGCAACACCTTGTAGATTTTGTATATCACGACGTTCATTTGCAGTTGTTGTTGCATCATTGTTCCGTTGATTTAAACGGGACCTTGCTGTGCGTAGACGATTATTTTCATTGCGATGTTTGTTTGTTTGTTTATTTATTTTGATTTTCCTAGTGCTACAAGGTTGTACCTTATGATTAGTGCACTAGTCACAAAAATTCCAATACGATTAATTAATAAATGAAATTGGATTAGATCGAATATTTCTTATAGCTAATTTTGCTTAGTTTTATACACATTTTTAATTCTAAATTTAAATTTAAATATCTCCTAAGCATAATAGATTCTTAATTTTATTTTGAGGTATGTTATTCTTTTCTTTTAATTTAGAGTTTTCAGATGTATAGTCAAATTTGTCCTGAATTTTAATGCGTCTACAGTTGTTTTACAGTTGTGTTATGTCTTGACTACTTTCACGGCTCCTTGAAGCCACAACTTGAAACGAATTTCGCGTTCGCCGACCCAAATTTAATCGTCTCGACATTTAACTTTAAAAACCACACAGGTTGGTTTAAAACGCACACATTTTCAAAAGCAACAAATATACTTACACAAATTGTAATTTTTTCAGAAAACAAATTTTCACACAAAAAGTTATAAAAAACAAAATCTATCATCAAATGTTCTGTTCTACAGAATGATACAAAATGAAATAAAATAAGCATTCAAACACACATTTTTAGACCAAATTTGTTCTACAGAATGACACAAAATGAAGTGAAGTAGGCGTTCAAACACACATTTTTAGACCAAATTTGAGATTTTTTTTGATTAATTTTTAATTTTTGTGGAACCTATTTATAGAAAAGTGAAAACTTGTAAATGCCGCATACTCTGGCTATCATTTAAAAAAAACCGCATGCAATGAAATGAAATAGGCGTTTGAACGCCTACGACCAAATTTAAGATTTTTTTGATTCATTTTTAATTCTTGAGGAACCTATTTATAGAAAAGTACAAATTTGCTTGTGAAAACCAAGTCACATTCTCTGGCTATCATTTAAAAAAAACAGCATGCAATTTGGTGCACGCGTTGCGGAGATAGCCGCTTACACTCAGATTTTTTTCTACATATTTGTAGTATAGATACGTCACAGCATTAGACAAATAATTTTTATACCCGTACTCAAAAAAGAGTTAAGGGGTATATTAGATTTGTGGTAAAAGTGGATGTGTGCAACGCAGAGAAGGAAACGTTTCCGACCCCATAAAGTATATATATTATTGATCAGCATCAATAGCCGAGTCGATATAGCCATGTCCGTCTGTCCGTCCGTCCGTCCGTCTGTCCGTCTGTCCGTCTTGATGAGCGCCTGGATCTCAGAGACTATAAGAGCTAGAGAAACCAAATTTGGTTTCCAGACTCATGTGATATCACACTGCTACAAGTGTATTTCAAAATTTCGCCCCGCCCCCTTCCGCCCACACAAAGGACGAAAATCTGTGGCAGGCACAGTTTTAAAGATACGATAAAACTAAAAACGCAGTATCGTAGAGAATGCCCATATCTACCAGATTGCCAAATCTGAATCAGATCGGATCATAATTATAGCCAGAATGAAGAAATTAATTTTCAGTTGCTTCCCCTGTCCCCCTCCATCAAACAACAACGCAACTCATTTTCCTTCTCGCTCGCACCTCTGCCGCGTTCAGTGCGCGGCAACCCCTAGCGGAGGAGATGTAGAATATGAATGGAACATGTACAATCTACATGTTAGATGTAGAATAGACATTGTATATGTAGATGTAGATATCAGATGTAGCAAAAAAATGTAAAATGTAAAATTTTTTTTTTTTAATTCTATAAAATCATAAGCTCAAAAATGTATATACTGACTGAGTACGGGTATAAGTAGAGTCGTGTCCGCAGAAACGACTCACACGTTCCTTCTCGTTTTATTTTCTTTCTTAAAAAATGTTGTTAAATTCGGTGGCATCCTCTAAAAAAAAGTCTTGAATAAAAGTAAAATCTTTAATATTACTATCAAGCCCAAGATAATAAAACTAAGAGGTGTCCCGTTCAAATTTTAAAAAAAAAATTTTTTTTGGCTCAACCTTGGGTATATTGTATTTGTGGTTAAAGTATATGTGTGTATCGCAGAGAGGGAAACGTTTCCGACTCCATAAAGTATATATATTCGTTTCATGTTTAATTTTGTTTATTTGTTATTATTCCCAGTGGTCGGCGCTTTGCCGAGCAGCCTGCTTACATTTGGACCCCAAATTTACAGAGAAATTACTTTTTTTTCTTTCAGTATCATGCCTTTGTTCAATGGTGCTATATTTTGCACCATGGTGTATATTTGTCTTGCGCAGGACACATCTCTTGACAACCTTATAGCGGATATTTTTAAAATAGGCGACTCATCAACATTTACAACACAAATTACTGGAAGCGATGCTGTAACGGTTGAGCCAAAAGATTCATCAAGCTCCGCAGGCCAGTATCAGTCCTGTGGGGACCAGAAAGAATGCGTGCCTCGATGGTTATGTACAAACAACACAATAAATACCAGTGGTGAAAATATAATTGACATCCGAATCGACACTGCCTCACCATGTAAAAACTATTTGGATCTATGTTGTGATCTTTCAAACAAGGTATTTTTTATTTCAAATGTTAGTGAGCTAAACTCATTTTACATTCATTATTAAGAAAGATGAAATTGATACCACAATAACACGTCCCGATACATCAAAAGGCTGTGGATATCAAAATCCAAATGGTTTTGGCTTTAAAATAACAGGAGCTGTAAATCAAGAAGCAGAGTTCGCGGAATTTCCATGGATGGTTGCAATTTTGCGAGAAGAAGCTCAACTGAACGTGTATGAGTGTGGAGGTGCTTTAATAGCTCCAAATGTTGTTTTAACAGCTGCTCACTGCGTTCATAACAAAGAGGCAAGCTCAATTGTTGGTATGTAAATATTATATACTTTTTTTAACTTTTCAGAGGTATTACCCATTTGCCAAAAAGGTTTTAAAGCAGGGCTTGGCACGGCCCTATCTATTGGGTATAGAAAAAGGCTTCTGCAATGCGACTTCGGCTTTTGTTGTCTCGATTTTTTCCCAGAGGAAGAACGAAAAAAACACCGAGAGAAAATAATTGTGTTTTACACGAAAGCTTCAGAACGAAATAATTTCAATTTTTATTATAAATCGCAGTGTAAAGCAATAAACCAGTTTCGGCCGCAGTCATCTTTGGGTTTTTGCTACATACGCTACAGTGACGACCACTGTTTTAAAGCATAGAAGAGAGAGTGGCTCTATGCCATCTTTTATTCCCTCAATCAGTATACTCATGTAAAGCAGAACCTTCAAGTCTTCTATAGAAACAATCGGGCAACAAGGTCTTTAGGAAATAAAAATTCCAAGAAATTCCTTATAAAAATTGAGTGTTTTATTTTTGAGCCCAATAAAATTGTTTACGAATCGGAAGACAGGCATATAGCTAACACAGAAATTATTAATCTTATGTTTTGTCCTAAGGGTCAAACTATTCTTGAAAACCATTTCATGTAGCATTACAGTTGTATGTATGCAGGTGGCGAAAAGGATAAAGACACTAGCTTCAGAGCTAGCCTTCCTTTCTTATTAAAATATTTTTATTTTTTTATTTTTAATGTATAAATATTTTTTTTTTATGTTTTTTAGTGAGAGCAGGCGAATGGGACACTCAAACCAAAAAAGAAATAATACCACATGAGGACCGTTATGTGAAAGAAATAGTGTATCATGAACAATTTAATAAGGGATCACTTTATAATGATGTTGCATTGCTATCGCTTGAAAGTTCGTTTACCTCTCAAGAGAACATTCAGCCAGTGTGCTTGCCAAGCATAGGGGATGTATTTGATTATGAGCGTTGCTTTGCCACAGGTTGGGGCAAAAACAAATTTGGCAAAGATGGCGAATATCAAGTCATTCTAAAAAAGGTTGATTTGCCTGTTATGCCGAAGCAACAGTGCCAGTCCAACTTGCGCGAAACTCGCCTGGGAAAGCATTTCATATTGCATGAAAGTTTTATATGTGCAGGCGGCGAAAAGGATAAAGACACTTGCAAGGGTGATGGTGGCTCCCCATTAGTATGCCCCATTAAAGGCGAGAAAAATCGGTTTAAGTCAGCTGGAATAGTAGCTTGGGGAATTGGTTGTGGAGAAGAAAATATCCCCGGAGTTTACACAAACGTTGCTAGCCTAAGAGCATGGATAGACGAAAAATTAAAAGTTTGGCAAATAAATCCTAACTATTTTACACCTTAAGAAAAATAATAAGAAAATCCTGAAAGGATAAGAATACTTGTAAACACATATTAATTCAAAACGAATAAAATTATAATTTTGATTTCTTAAAAATAAATTCTGCAAGAAAAGTTTCACGGCAAAACTAAAATAGTTGTATAATGCGTTTACTTGGCTTAACATTTCGGTGGTTGTTTTTGTTTTCCCATATTAACATAAAGGCTTTTTGCTATGTGATAATTTCCAACTAAAATCTTGTTCAATAATTTGTAAATGTTTATGTCGAGCTTCTTCAGTAGCGTGGATTGGAGTCGTAAATAATTACACAAGTTTTTGAACGTTTATAATGTATATATGTATGTGATTTATTTTCGTGCAGGGCGGATATGTGGGGATTTTATTCGAGAGGTATGTAAATAACAGACGGAACCGACTTGGACTGTGTTCGATCGGTAAAACCGATATATTTAAGTTTACGATCGCTCGGAGCTATGAACAGCAAAACGCATGACTACGGTGATGATCGATCTTGAAGTATCTTCTGCTTTGCTAACGAGCCTCCCTCACGGCTTTCGTCGGCTGACGAACACCGGGAAAGAGCAAAGCAGCAGTAAAGGTGGTTCTAGACGATGCAGCGGCTGCCCACATGCAGCATGTGTATATGAGACGTATACGATTTCATTTTAAGCATTTAAGCCAAAAAAATGTTTTTTGAAATTTAAACGGCACACCACACCCCTTAATTTTGTTCTCTTGGGTTTGATAGTAATATTAAAGTTTTTATTTTAGAGGTTGTTACCGAATTTTACTACAAATTGTAGGCAAGAAAATTAAAAAAAAAATTGTGCTGAAATTTGGATAATTCGGTGAAATCTATTGCATATATATTGATACCATTAATATCGTCATTAATCAGTTATTGGCAGTAAAAACCTGCACACATTTTTGCGAACTAGTTAACTAAATATATCAACCTCAGCTTCTTGATTTTCACCTGTAAGGAAGTTTCCCAGCCAAGGTACAGCCTCTCAGTCTGTCCAGGGCCCGGCCTTCAATACAGCAAGATTTTGATTGAAGACCATAGAGACGGGGTCGGGAAGGCATATTGGCGGTGCGAGGTGCCGCTTGGGTAGGACGTAAACGTAGGGCGGCGTTGGCCCAGAGTTATGGGCAGCGGTGACGGACCGCCTGGTCGATAGGACATAGGGCACGCCAAGTGGGACGTAGACCCCGTGGAAGTGGGACGCCTCGCCGCGCTTGGCTCGAGGGCCGGGCACGAGGTGCTGGCTGACCCTGGGTATGTAGAAGGATAGGTAAAAGGGAAGGGGAAAGAGCCCGGTTCTTGAAGACAGGGGCATCCGCGTACTGTCTCACTTAGCTGGCGTCCCCGGGAGGAAGGAGGGTAGGCGATGGGGAAGGGGGAGGGGACGGGAAGGTAGCGGGGCGGAGGAACGGAGTCAACAAATGCTCGACCGGGGTGGAGGAGGTTAGGCAAGAGGGAGAGGGAAGACCAGTTCGTGGATGCCGGGGCATCCGCGTACGACACCACTGGCTGGCTTCCCAAACATGCGAGGGAGGGGACGGGAAGGTAGTTGACTACGGCTCCACGCTTGAGTAGCGGGGCAGAGGAACTGGAGCTACAAAGCCACAAATTTCCATGTATGTATATAAAAGATGTGTGTAGGTTTTAATAGTTGTCTTTATTTCCTGCCTACTAGCTTAGTGTCTGTGTGAGTGTGTGTGTGTGTCGCTAATCCCTACGATCGCACCTATCTCTCTTCTCCTTCCCATCTACGTGAGGCCAGCTTACCCCTCTGCTTCCTGCTCCGCTCCTGTCTTCCTGGTGTTCCACTTCTGTTGGCTCCCGTTCCGCTCCTCGTCTTCTGCTTCCACTTTCACTTTTTCTTTTTCTGCTTGCGACCGGCCAGTTCTAGAGTCAAAACTTCTGTCCCGATCCTCTGTTTGGCGCGTGCCTTCCTTGGCTCCGAAATCTGTGTTTCTCTGCCGCTAGCCTCTGCTGGCGCTTCGGCTTTTCGGCTCTCTCCGCTCTTCTTCACGGGAGTCGGTGAGTCTCTCCATGTGGCGCGGGCAGCAGTCCTCGCTCGGCTCTGTGGGTGGGTGGGAGTTCCTTCGGTTGCGCTTGTGGCTGAGAGTCTGCGCGTTTCTCCCCTACTCATTGTTGCGTGCGCTTGCGCTACGGCGTGAGCAGCGGTCCAAGCCCGTGGGTGTGTGGGTGTGGGTGGGCAGGTGGTTCGGCGCTCTTTTGTGCCGTTGTAGTTGCTCTAAATCTCTTTCTCTTCGCTTGCGGTGGTGGTTCCGGCGCTGGTTCTGGTGGGTTGGTACCGATGTGCTGGTTCCAATGATGGTTCCGATGTGCGGGTTCCGAAGTGCTGGTTCCTATGCTGGTTCCGATGTGCTGGTTCCTATGCTGGTTCCGATGTGCTGGTTCCTATGCTGGTTCTGGTACCGGTTCTGGTCAGGGTGAGGGTTCTGGTCCCTCAATAAAGGATAGGCTATATTTAAATTTGTATGGCTATTTAATATGGACGGCTTAGAACTAAAAATAATGAGAATATACAACTAATTATAAAAGATGACGTGTGGGTGAGGTAGGTGGGGAGCTGAGACCGGTAAGGGGTTGAGGTAGGTGGTGGTGGTTGTGAAGGGTTCCATCACACTCCCTTCCTACTTCGGGGGATGTACCGAGATGAAGACCTCCCCTCCTCGGTTTACCGACACGCGGAAGGTCTGCCCGTCGTGGATCTCAATTTCCCGGGTCCGGGGTCCTATTATTAGCGCCCGCTGGCTCGCACTTTCCCTCAGGGTGGCCGGGATCCGTCGACCGGGCGTCTCCATGCGCCACCCAGCCGGTGCCTCCACCCAATCCCGCTCCTCCTGTATATCATCCAGCGCTGGCAGCTCCCGGAACAGGTTTTGTAGCTCCTCCGCTTCGGGTCCGGATAACCCGATCGAGAGGTCGTCTTCCTGGCGGAGTGTCCGCCCGCAGCTCTGGTGGCGGCGTGGCTGCCCGTGGGTCTGAAGGCGGAGTGTCTGCCCGCAATTTTGGTGGCGGCGTGGCTGGTCGTGGTTCGGGAGGCGGAGTGTCTGCCCGTGGGTCTGATGGTGGAGTGGCTGGTCGTGGTTCGGGAGGCGGAGTGTCTGCCCGTGGGTCTGATGGTGGAGTGTCTCGCCCGTCGTCGATGCCCGACTCCGTCCGCGGGTATTCCTCCGTACTTTCGTCGTCACCCCGACTGGGAAATGGGCTGGGGACCATACTTTCGGTCTCGCTTGTAATTCCCGACCCTTTCCCGCTGTCGGCCAGAGTTTGGCCGCTTTTCAGCGCACCCGTAGGGGGTCGTCGCTCCTGCTCCCGCTGTCGCAGACGCTGCAGCTTGCTGCGGAGGGCTGCGTTCTCCCGTCGTAGGAGCTGGAGTTCCCCGATGTTTTCGTGGGGCCGTCCTCCCTGGATGGCGGCCACAGTTGCGTCGCCGGCGATGGCGAGCCGACGTAGAGCCACCCGTGAGGTGGATGGGCTTTCGGCGAGCTCCTGTAGCGGTTGCACAGCCACGTGCGATGGGATGCCTCCGGGATCGGCATTCTGGGTGCTGTGTTCCCCGCGGAAGGGTTGGGGTGGGGTGCCTGGACCGGTGAGAGACCGGTGACAGCTACCCTACCGTTGGCCCGTGGTGAGCCGGGCGTTGTTGCCCTATGGATTGAGGCGTTGGGCGCCGTGTCCTGGGGTTGACTGCCGTCTTCTCCCGACGGCTGGGCGTCGTCCGCGCCCGTGGCTGCTTTGTTCTGGTCTTCTTCGTCTGCGATGTCTTCAGGTTGGTCACTGCTCGTCGTTGTGGTCGTGGAACATTTTAAGATCCGCCAGCCCGGCGGTTCGCCGCTGCTGTCCAAGGTGTTGTTGTAGCAGTACTATGGTCGGGGAGATGAGCTTGATGACCCGATACGGTCCCTCAAACTTTGGGGCCAGTTTTGCGGCGAAGTTGTCGGCGGCCCTGGATAGTTGGTGTTGGCAAAGCATGACCAGTGTTCCAATCACGGGTTGCCACTCGCGCCTCCGAAGATTTCATTTTCGGCTTTGCTCTTGAAAAGCACGCTGGGTGTTCTCTCGTACCACTCGGAAGATTTCGCTGAGTCTGGATGCCATGTCCTGTGGGTCCTCGCTGGTCTGGCATGGCCCTAGCGTCACCTCGTCGTACAGTGCTCCGGGTAGGCGTTGCTCTCGTCCATGCATCAGAAAGGCGAGGCTGAAACACTTCGTGTCTGAGGTGCTGCTATTCACGGCCAGACTTAGTTCTGACAGAAGTTCATCCCAGGTTCGTTGGTCCTGTTCCACGTATTGAGCGATCATTGTCTTGATCGTCCTGTTGGCCCTCTCGGTTGGATTCTGCAGAAGGGTATATGGGGCAGTGTGTTGCAATTCCATCCCGGCCATTTTACAGAAGTTTCTGAAGGAGCGGCTCGTAAACTGGGTACCATTGTCGCATACAAACTTTCTGGGCGTCCTGAAGTTGCTAAGGATGCGTTCTCGGAATGCCTTCTCCAGCAGTGCCGTTGTGGCTTTGCGAAGCGGTTCTGGCTGTGTCTGTATTCGCCTGAGTAACCGTTGGACATGGACATCCATGGACAGGTGGGTCGGTCTTCCTCTGTTCGTTGGAGTGTTTCCACCGGTTGCCGAGACAGTGCATCTGCTACCACGTTTTGGCTTCCACATCGGTAGTGGATGTCAAACCGGAACTGTTGGAGTTCCAGTGCCCAGCGTGCGATGCCTCCAGTCGGGTTGTCGATCGTGTTGAGCCATTTCAACGCGAGGTGGTCGGTAATGACTTCAAAATGGTAGCCTTCGAGGTAGCAGCGCATCTTCCTGACGGCCCAGACGATGGCCAGACATTCCTTCTCTGTGGTAGAGTAATTTTCCTCTGTCTGGAGGAGGCGACGGCTAGCGTAGGCAATGACCCGCTCTTCTCCGGCGATCTGCTGCGTCAACACTGCTCCGAGGCCGTAGTCACTGGCGTCTGTTTGTAATACAAATCGTTCATTGAAATCGGGACACGCCAAGACTGGCGCCTGGGTCAACTTTTCTTTGAGGTTATCAAATGCCTGTAGCTGCTCCTCAGTCCATTCCCATTTTTGGGCCTTCTTTAACAGTTTGGTCATTGGCTGGACCACCGTGGCGAAGTTCGGGACGAACCTCCGGTACCAGGAGGCCATTCCTATGCAGCGACGAAGGAACTTCAGTGTGGCGTTAGCTTCTGGACTGCGATGACCTTGTCCGGATCTGTGTGGATACCCTGTTCACTGTTGAAATGGCCCAGGTACACCAGGCTCTTCTTAAAGAAGGT